CTTTATTTTACTTTTATTAAACGTAAAAACGATATTATCGACGTAATATAGTATAAGAATATTATCTTTCTTTATAATATACGGGTCTTTAGAGATTGTTTTAAATTCTATCGATTTAAATACTCTGCTTAATTTTCGTTATTATAGTAAGGGAGCTCGTCGGAGATTATATAGGGCCTTGATAAATTTAAGAACCTTCCCGGGTATTTGATACCTTGGCGGTATATGTATATAAATTTCCTTATTGAAGTAAATATTTACAAAAACGTTAATTACGTTATATTAAATAAATTTAAAATTAAAACGAATAGCGAGAGCGATAATAATACGAAATAATCGACTAATTAGAGTAGATATATACAGATTAACTCTTATTTTCTTTTATTAATTACCCCTTATAATAAATTTCGCTTTTACCTTATTAAATATCCTATTTTTATTAAACTTATAAAGATAAACCTATATATAATTAAAGATTCATTTATATTTAGAATAAGGAATATCCTTATTTACTTTAATTTATATTTTTATATTTTTACAATTTTTAAAATAAACTCCCTCTACTTGTTTAAATTGTTAATTAAATATATAGTTATTAAAATTATAATACTTTTTAGGTATTAGGGGGAGGTTACGTTGGTATATCCTATTAAAACGACTGTATTTTATAGTTAACCGTTCGATTTCCGCCTTAGTAATCATTTTCTTACTTATTTTAACTACTAATTAGGCTAATTTACTAGCGTTAAAAGCAGTTTCCTATAATTTTTGATAACGGGAATACTAATCGATAATTCGGTTAATAGAATAACTGGTATAGAGTATGGCTAGTAGGGTAGATAGAAACAACGGGTATAAACTTATAATATATTCGATAGATATTTCATTATAAACGGGCTATTAAATTAGTACCTCCTATATTTAATTACTCTTATTCTAAAAGATTTTTTAATTCCCTTAATAATTCTCCTAATTTTAATTAAGAAAATTCGACGAGAGAAGTTTAATATTACTATTATTAACGTCGTTTAATAGTATATAGCCTTTAATATAGGATAGTTTAAATACCCCCGAGGGTTAATTGGCGGGCTTATTTACTTTATTAAATAAATTAGTAAATTCCTCACTAGTAATTTTAAAGGCGTCTTTAAATCTTTTAATATTTAAATAATAAATAATATTTTTATTGAATATTACGTCCTTAATTTAAATAATCCAATTTATATAAAAATTCTATATATAATAGATAGAGGTCGTTAAGTAACCGATAAAATACCCAATTTAAGCCTTTAAGTTATATTTTTGAAATTTTTATTCTTTCCTTTAAGCGGCGCTTATTATAATAACTACTTCATACTTATAAATTCGAAAGTAATTTAGATTTAATTTGTATAATTCTGACTAATTATATTAATTTGCAATATAAGTATAGAATCGTTCGAAGGGAGATTTTTAATTATATAAATAACAAGGGGAACGATTAATAAAGTAAACAATCGCATAAATAATCTTTAATTATAAATCTTTTAATATTTTTAAATTTAATAATATTATATAGTATTTCTCTTTAATTATACCCCTTAAACGTTCTACCTCTCTATTCTATATTTAAGTATTAGAAGTAGAAGGTTTAAAAACTATATTATACCAGGCGAATCTATCCTTAATTTCGTTAGTTATAAATTCGTTATTATATTCGACGGCTTTAATATTGATATTATATTAGTATTCAAATACTTAAATATAGTTAACTAAAGTATTAATTATCGTAATAGCTTCTCGGTTCGATAAATAATAATTTTAAATTAATTTTAATTATCGATCAATAATTAGAAGAAAGTAATATAATCTTTTAAATCCTAATTTAAAATCGAGGAAATCGATAGTAAGTTTTTCTCTTAGGCTATCGCTTTGGTTTTTCGAAACGCGGTTAATTTATCATTTTATTTTTACTATTCTATATACGTTATATTTAATTAAAAGTATATTACGTAGTTGTATTCCGTTAACGTTTTATAAATAGTCGAATACTTAAGGATTTAAATAGCCGAATTATTAATACTATACTTTTACTAGTTATTTCGAAGGTCGTTACGTATATAAATTAATTTAATAATAGTACGCTACGAATGAAGCTTTAATAAATAAAAGAGGGATAATTTTAATAATCGTTTAATTATAGATAATATCCAAATAATAAAAGAATAAACCATTAACTTTCCCTAGATAATTATTTAATAATCGATAATCCTAATAGAAACCTTACCTTTGTAATTAGAAATAGGAAACGAAATTAGTAATAAAGTTAAGGCAAAAAGCGATTTCCTTTAGCCGTAGCTTTAGGGGACCGTTTTTACCCTTAATAATAATATTAACCTCCCTAAACCCTTTAATTTCTATTTAAATATTATTAGCCTATAAAGAATTATTTAGATTAATATAACGAAAATAAAGGAAACGAATAATTTTATTAAATATATAAAGCGAATTACTAGAATCGAATATTATTAAATTTTTAAACAAGTAAATTTCGTTCTTAGTTTTAAATACCCCGTTAATTTAGAAAATTACTTTATAGGTCCAATTCGATAATTACGCTAATTCTTCCTTTTCGACTTTCTCTTCCTTTTTAGATAATTTAATTGCTTCCTTAGCAAGCTTTAAATCTTTCGCGAAGTTAATTTTAAGAATACGTTTAATAGAAGGGTATAGCCTAATATATAAAAGCTTCGCACTTAAATTAATATACTAATAGTGTTTAAAAGAATAATAATTTCTTTTATATATTTTATATATTATACCGTTACCCTTCTTACGTAATTAAATTTTAGATTTATCCGAAGGGAACTTTCTCTTTTTAATACTAAAGCTCTTTAGCTTTTTATTTTTATTATTATAACGAACGTCCTTATTTTTAGTATTATAACCTTTATTATTATATTTTTAGCTATTATATTCAATATTAATCTCATTAGCACTAAAGGTATTATAATAAATCCCTTCTCTTCTAGCGGCAACCCTACGACGAGCGTTATCGATACTATACCGCTTAAAATCCTTATAAATTTCTATATACTTAAAGGTATTAACGGCTATTTCCTTATCGAATTTCTAAGCGCTATTATACTACCCCAAGCGAATAATCTTAACTACATTAATAAAATTAGAATACTATAAACTAACGACGAGAATTTCCCCAACTTCCTTATTATAGCTGTTATTTATAATAATAAATTAAGTATATAGTTAATTAATTTAATTCTTAGGTTCTTTCGTAAGGATAGCGACGGTTTTATAATATATCTTCCTTACTTTAATTTAGTCGTTAACCAGTTTATAATTTATTATTTATTTGAAATTTTAATATTATTCGTCGGTATCCTATTCCTCCCTTATAACTCTATTTTATAGTCCGTAATTAATTAACAATTTTATTTAAATACGTATAACTTTATTACTAACTACAAACTCCTTCCAATCCTTTTTATTATTAGAATAGAGGTTAATTTTTAATTTATAAAGTTATTTATTAATAAGGTCGTCCTTAGTAATAAAAGTATCAATTACAATTTCGTTTCGGTCGCGGTATTTAATAGGTTCTTTATAGCTAATCCTATCTTCGTAGATAACGAATTGGGTATTAATACCGCCGTCGAAACGTACGAACTCCGCTTCTATATTATTAATACAAATTTTTATTTCCTTAATTAAGGGGTAATAATTAGGATAAAGTTATTTCAGTATAGAAGGTTTAATCTTTCTTCAAAGCCAATCCTTAAGGGTATTAAGAATATACTTCGATTAAAATATAAGTTCCTATTGTAACTAGTTATCGCTGTCTTTAAAGTAAACGACGTTTTCTTTCATTTCAATAGGCTTTGAAAGGGATATCGTAATCCGGTTATTATTTACTATTCAAACGTGCTAATTATTATATAATAGGTTGCATATTAGACTATTAATTGTCAGATTTACTAGTGTAATTGATTGAATCTGTGTAACTGACTCGAGCGCTCTCTCTACAGAAGGTCTAGGGGTCTGGGGGTAACCCATATTTGCCAAGACCTATTAAATCAGGTGGCTGGGACTCTGGCATCTAGCCCACATCTGGCCAGAATACCACCCTAGAATCTGATAGTTCAAGGTAAGTTGTGGTGGGGCACGAGTTGCTTCCGTAATGGAACCGGAAACCCCCTGGACCCCCATGAATATCGACTTCATCCGCTCAATATCGTTGTTCTTGTCCCGGACCTACGATGAAATTTCACCTGGTTCCAGCGGTCTTCGTCGGCGATAGATCTTGGCCTGAAACAAGGGCACCGTCACCCAAGCCTCCAGGGAAACGAACCTCCTGCACTCCTTGTCCCAGATCTAGCTCAGCAGGCCTCCATCAGGGGTGACGCTCGCAGGATACCTGCCGTCACGGCTCCATCTGTAGGGCTTGCTAGATGGAGAGGAAATTCCGCCACGAGATCAGGGTGGTGTTGCGAGGTCGGGGTAGAGGGGTTTGTGTCTCCGTGAAGTTTCCTGCTATTAGTTCAACCAAGATTGAGGCTGTTCATGGGCTGTTTGAGGAGAAGGGGGGGATGGTCAAACAGGGCGGACACACATGTCCCGTTCAAAGGACGAGACTCAGCCCATGGTAACCTGGTTTGAGGGAGATGCCCAAACTCAGGGCATGGAACTTTGGTATCTTTCTCGGCATGGATCTGAAAAGGACGGAATACCTTCCGCAGCTGCTTTACAAAAAGCCAGAGTCCGTCCCGGACTGTGTTTAAGGATGTTTCATAAAATTTCTTTTCCAGAGCCTATACTCCGCATCACCAATCTAGCAAGATAACCCAGCCATATATCCCATCCGACATCCAGACAACCCCGGTTGTCCAACCCAAACATGCCCTTCACCCACCAACTCCGACCAGAAAAAGATAATGAACCATCAACATCATTACACATTAACCCGATTTTACCGTTTGATCCCATCCTCACGTCTGATGAACCTAAGGATTACGGCTCTCAAGCTCATACCCCTGCTGCTGACCACCATGCACCGGGGCGTCGTAATACGTCGGCTTGGGATATTGCGTCGCTGCGTAGGAGGCGTTGTCGACAGGAGTGACGCCCACGCTATACGGACTGGCAGGATACTTCTGAGCCGAAGGCTGGACCTGGGTGGCATATGCCTGAGAAGCGTAGGCCGTGTCTTCAGCGTAAAAGCCGTGACTAATGGCGGGGTTCGCCGCCTTGACGTAGCCATCGGCGCCGGCGCCGGGATTGAGGTCGCCCTTGCGGAATCGGTGGTAGATGACGGAGGCGTAGATGAGCATGCCTACGAATGAGATGCTGTTTTGTAGGTGGACGGGTTAGTTTTCATGACGAAAATACACGTACCCTGAAGCTCTGCCACGTTCATCCTAAACTGGTTCCTCTCCTCCAGCACAACGACAAGGAAGGAACGAAAGAAAACTCACAAGATCACAATCCCAAGAATAATCGTTCCTGCAGTCCTAGCACCAATCATAGCCAAGATGAAGAACACCACCCAAATAGTCGTCTGCACGACGTTCGTGATCAAGAAAAACTTGGGGCTCAGCGTGCGCCGCGAGCGCTTGACGATGCACACAATGTCCAGCACCAAACACAAAACGACGAGCGTCATATCGACCGCCACGATGGCGATCGCCGTGTTGACCGTGCTGCCACCGAAGTCGCTTTCCAGCTCGTCCTGTTGAAGGGCGATGACGGCGACCAGGAGACCGCACGCGACCAGCTCGAGAAGCATGATGATGATCCGGATTACCCAGAAGGGAATTAGCACGCGCTTGAGGAAGGGCGAGGAGTCACCGATTACGTAGGGTTGGGGAGGCATGGTTGCGGTTGTTGGGGGTTTTGTTTTTCCGCGAATGTGAATGTGATGGCTGGTTGACTGTTGTTGACTGCTTTCTGTGTCTGAATGCTTCGATGAAGTGTGCGTTGTCGCAGTCGTTGGGTATATGAGATTTTGTTTTCGATGAATACCTAAGATTCTCCCAAGAATACCAGCTAGGTTTATTCGTCGGTTTAGGATATGAACGTTCTTATCGTCGCTTTTGTTATCGTCGTCGTCGTTTCTTTGTTTCCGGGTCGTGAGATGAAGGGAGCGAGGTGAACTCAAGTCAACGACACGAACGCGACTGAATATTGAGGGCAAGAAAGGGGAGGAAAGCAGAACAACTTGACCAATAGGTTTCCATGCCAGCGCATCGACAAGTTATAAAGAAAAAAAAGGAACAGAGGTGTGGTGAGACTGAGCCAAGTGAGCGTGGCTTGGGCTCGTAACGTTCCCCCAAAACAAGGTTAGGGGACCCTGCAGCAGCCTAGTGATCTTTGTTTTCTGACCATCCCCCGCAAAAAGACAGAAGACACGCCTGGAAGCTATTCCAAAATGGTCAAGCCCCTAGTTAAACACGGCGCTTGAGTTGCAAAGAGGCCAATCATGACTTGCCACCGCCGATTACTGTTACCCTGTCACATCTCTAAGCCCCCCCTTGCTACATAGTAAAAGTTAAATCATGCTTGGCATAGGTCACTTTTCTTGTTCCCGTCCTTGTCCTTCGCCCTTGCTTTCTTTGTTCCCGTCCTCAGTCCTCACTGCCTGGAACGGCCCAGCCAAGGGGAAGGAACAAGCGCGATTGCGGCACGGCTCCGCCACTTCTGGCACATCTTCGACCTCACAGGCGGAGCACTCAAGAGAAAAACGGAAGTAACTTAACCGACTGTCAGAACTATTTGGCGCCGCTGCCCTGGCGGTGATGGTTGCTTGGTGCTTGGTACAACCTGAAGTGGCTCTCAATTCTCGTTTTCTATCCTGGGATTCACTACCTATCAATGCATTCATATCGAAATGAAATTGCAGACTGCAGCATCCGACATCTGTCCCGTCAAACAACAAGACAATGATAGGGCAGGGGCATAGTGTCTTCCCTGCAGCGCTGCCGCCGGGCAGGTGCATACCGTAACACCAACACCAACAGATGAGATCCAGTTGACATTTCTGACCCGGCAAGCATCCGATACTACGCAACAAACAGACCCGAGCACTTGGGATCAGAGTTTGTGGCCCTGTGAGGGGAGCGCGTGAGTGATACGGTATGAGAAAGGGGGGCACGGCACAGCGAGGAGGGGCAGCGAGGGAATCCGAGTTTGACACCCCCTCGTGTTGTCATTCAGCCCGCACACTCCCGTCTCGTCTTGCTGAACGGTATCCTGTCGTTCGAGTTTGACATTCCACGCACGACCGACCGCATAAAAGAGGCTATCAACACTCGATCTGACATCGCCGACATCGCCAAGACAACCGTACGCCTACCCCATGATAAACTAATTACCTATTCTTTAAAAAAAATTCTTTTAGGGCTGTAAGACGGCGCCAGCCTGGGCACATCGCAGATCGCTACCCCGGCCCCGAATAAGCGCTACCCGTGCCACGCCATACACTAGACTAGTCACCTACAGTAGCACGTTCGACTTGTACCTTTACTCCACCGCCATCGTGTTTCAGGTCCGGGTATGTAACTCCCGTCGCCAATGGGTGAGACCAGCAGAATCTTGTTACACCAGCAAATGAACATGAAAGAACACCAAGAAATACCGCTACGGCGACGATTTCAAACAAAAAGGACCTACATAGACTGAGGTTATGCTCCGTCCGGTCTGTGTGACAGCGCCTTCTGTCCGAGCGAGCAGCTAGAATCAGTCCATCTAGAGGTACCGTATCTTACGCAGCTGCTCTTGATCATTGATGCCATGGTGTTAAGTAATTCTTGAATTTAAGCCCGTCAATGTGACTGACTACCTTCTATTCTATGTGAGGACACTCGGGGAAGAAACCACACCTCACGTCACTACAAAGCCACGAGACGGAAAATTCGGCGACGAACACGACGGACGATCTGATTGCCGCATCATGATCATCACGATGTCATACTATAGATAAAATCGAGACGGAACAGGGCGATAAAGCGGGGGTGTTGTGGGTGGTTGATCATCTCGAATGTCTCAACCCATCCATCTCCAACACCTCTACTACCTAACCTCCAACGGGTGATCCACACGAACAGCCCAACTACCAGCAAAGGTGATGTCGATGTCTAACGAAGAAAAGTTCCATGTTTCTGGTATACGAAGTTCAAAAAGTGGGAAAAAAGAGAGGGAACAAATGAACTATCTAAATTTAAAGGAAGAAATAGATTAAGCATCACAGCTTCCATGCTGGATGCTTCACTGTTTGTCTTTCACACTCCCCATTCAGCAACAATGTGCCGTACCGTACGTAAACCGCCCCAGTGGCAGCGGTAACGTCATTTCTCATCGCCAAATGCTTTTCCCCCCTTCAGTGAAGTACGGTGGTGGCACACATGTAAGATGGCTGCTAGGGTAAGATCATATCATATCGTATGGCTGACGGTAATAGGAATAGGATTGTAGCTTTGTCTTGAAGTGAGTGAGAATACCATTCCAGCGTGATGGCACAATGCAGTCATCACCGAGGTCTCTACATGTATCTGTCAACACATCGATCTTAACCTATCTCTTATTACCTAGCCGTTGACACCTTGTAACGACCTTCCTGTATGTTCCTGCATCCAGATATCTTCGCAAAGCCCGCTATCCCAGGCAATTTCCACGCGTAAGCACCTTCTAGAGGTAGACCAGCTACCATCTCACCTCCCGCACCAACCCAAAACCCTCCCAATTCCCCTTACTCAAACCGATCACTATCAGCATACCCATAAGCCAACCCCAACACCCACCCATCCGCCTCCCTCTCCCCCTTCGGATTGACTCCTCCCCAAAGCACCACTCCCTTCCCCTCCAAACACCCAGACGCAGCCAGCAACCCCCTCGGCCCGGGATGCACTTTACCCTCCGCCGCGACCTCCATCTTCTGCTCCGTCGGGACCAGCTCCGCTTCCGCCCAGCTGAACTTGCCCGACTGGATGCCCTTCGGCATCAGCTTGTCGCGAATCACGTCCTTGGCTGCAGCACCAGTAAACCCGTGCGACGGCAGTTGGAGCGACCAGATGTCGGCGTAGTATTTCTCTTCTTCTGGTGAAGCCTTGTTGGACTCGCCGGCGGCGTCCGAGGAGATGCCGAACATGTAAATCAGGTAAAAGCGGCCGTAGCCGGTGTGGATGGGCACCAGCGCACCGCCGACGCGCGGTCGCGGACCGGGCGTGAGCGGGTTGATGGGGTATGTAATGGATTGCCAGGTCAATGCGCCGGGCTTCTCGCGGTCGGTGGTGGACTTGAGGAGGTCGAGGTAGTTGATGGTGCCGCTGAGATTGGGCGAGCCCGGGCTGGCGCTGATGGTGTAGAGAGCCGTGTCGGCGTAGGCGGCGGCGAGAGGTGGAGAGGGAGATTTGGGGAGGGTGGTCCACGCGTTGCGGTCAAAGCTGTAGAGCCATGTCTCCGTCTCCGTGCCGCCTGGGCTTGATGTGTGGCCTCCGTGGAGGATCAGAAAATTCTGCTTGTCGTCGACAAAGATGTGGTGGCCGTAGCGGGGTGCCAGCTTCACCCCGAGCTGCGTCTCCCCGTGCAGCTTTGTCCACTTCATGTGCTCCGTGTCCCAGAGCCAAAGACAGTTGTCTTCCTCGATCGGGTTGCCGTGCTCGTCGCATCCGCCGTGGATAACGACTGAGTTCCCCCAAGAACACGCGGCATGTTTAGTACGAGGCGCAGGGATGTATGTCTCGCCGGTCTTTGCATCGATTAAGGGGAACGCTGGGTAGTGATCGTGGATCTTCTCGGCACCGGTGTTGTCTTTGCTTGGAAGAAGAATAGCATGGACATCGCTGTTGCAAAGCTTGCCATCGACGTCTTCGCCACCAAAGATGTAGGCTTTGTTACCGATGGTGGTGATGGTATGGTTGGATCTGGCAAGGACTCGCCTGTAGGAATGCGGTACGATTAGCAGATGCTTCCTTGAGCAAGCAGTGGAGTGGTGACTGGAAGGGAGACAAGGGCATACTCAGTGGTTTCAGATGTTGCCCTCGCTAGTTGTGTAAGAGACACCTTCAGAGGCTGTGTTGGAGCGGCGACGGCGACTGCTGCTCCCACTTCGATGCCTGTTGCAACGATCTGCTCTGCAACCAGAGCTCCGGCAGCAACTTCGGCCATTGTGTCTGAGGATCTGGGTGGGTGGTGGTTTGTGAGCTTCGCGATTAGTTATTCTCTTGAAGAGTGTAGTAAGAACAGCAGATACAGACTGCAAGCTACTGTCGAGAGGATGGTAGGTTATCTTCAAAAGTGCTTCCTGGAAATCGGGTTGTGTATGATTGTAGCGGTGTTGTTTATTGTCTTACACAGACGGAACGGGAGCTTCAGACGAATGATGCCTATGACGTCAGAGTGGGGTACAAACGCTTATCGCCCGTGTTTACCCCTGACTAAAACGTTATCGATAACGTAAAGTCCCATGAGCCCCGGTTTTGCTACAAAGAGTTCACAATTTATAGGCAGCATAGCGCTGGGAGAAGAGGAAAATAGGAAAAAAGAACGCTGGGAAAACCGCTTGGTGAAAAACCCAGATACCCGCTTGGGATAGAATCGCGCAAAATCTCTCAGGGCCAACCGGTGGACAAATAATTGTAAGGGACATTCATTACTCGTATTACATTATCGTCAACACTATAGAAAGAGCAAACATCTCGGGTATAATCTCATCAAACAAAGTCATGACACAATGCCTAAACCTGCACCGTTTCCCTTTTCCAATCGCCCCCTCTTTTAATATCCAAACCGCCAAATAAACTGCAAAACGATTCTCTTCTTCTCTCCTTTTAGAACACCAAGCCCTTATTCTGCTTGACATCCTTGAGCTTGATGTCCCTCCAGAACAAGACCGACACCAGCGAGATGGCCTGGATGGCCGTCGCAGCGATGAGCATGTACTTCTGGGAGTCACCATAGGCCCGAGAAATGGCGTTTCTGGTCTCAGAACCATACGGGTAGCTCAGCTGCTTGACAAGGGAGCCGTAGATGGCGGGGAGGTTCTCCTGCTCCGAGGCGGGGAGGTACTTGGCCAGGTGCTTGGGGAAGACACCGGTCCAGATGGCCGAGGCAATAGTGAGACCAATGGCACCACCAACGTTGGAGAACATGGCCTCGATGGCAAGAACGGACGCAATGAACTCGTGCGAGGTGGCCGCCATGACCGCCATCTGCTCGCAAATGACGAGGGTACCGCCGGCGGTGGCAATGAAGATCTGGCACATAACAATGTAGCCGACGTTCTCGTTGGGCTGACGGAAGTGGATCATGAGGCCGACACCGAGAATGGTGACAGGGACACCAAAGTACACGGCGAGCCACTTGAAGCGACCAGTCTTGCGGACGGCCCAACCGACGAGAAGGGACCAGAAGCAGGAGCCGACGCTGTAAACGTTGACAACGTAGCTGGTCTTAACGACGTCAAGGTTGTTGACGACCTGGAGGAACGAAGAGAAGTAAATATCCCAGATGTAGAACGAGACGAAGAGGGCAGCCGAGAGAATGCACGCGCTGATGACGGTGCGGTCCATGAGGAGCTGGTAGGGGATGAAAGTCTTGGGAGCCAAGAACTTCTCGTAGAAGGCGAAAGCGATCATGAGCAAACCACCAAAGATGAGGAAGCAGATGATGAGGGGAGCCTTCCACTGGTCCTTCTGGTACGAATAGAGGTTGAAGGACAGGAGGAACAGGGCCAGACCAGTAGTGATGAGGAGCAGACCGAAGATGTCGAACTCGATGAGGTAGAACTTGAGCGTCTGCCAGAAGTTGCCCTTGCTCTCGTGCTTGGGGAGAAGACCAGCCTTCTTGGCCTTGACGTGGTTCTTGTAGAAGAGCCAGAGCAGGGGCGAGCAGACGGCGGGGACAATAATGGCAAAGGCGCCATAACCCCACCTCCAGCCAGGGCCACCGAGGAAGCGCTCGGCAACAATACCGCTGATCCAGCAGGTGATGATGTAGGGGGACGAAACAAAGGCAAACAGCAAAGCTCTGTTCGTGAGGGCCGAAGTATCGGCAAGGAAGATGGAGATTGAGTAGGTGATGCCGTTGTATCCGACCCAGTAGAAGACCTGGGCAGCCGCGTAGGTCTTGACGCCGTTACAAGCAGCCATCATGATCAGACCAATGGTCAGGCAGAAAAGCATGGCGCAGAAACCCTGAGGACGACCCCAGATATCGAGGATCTTGGCGAGGGGGAGCTTGAACAGACCACCGATCAAGTTGGACATGATGCTGGTGGTGGCCGTCAGGGAGTGGAGGGCGAAGGAACTGGTAACGTAAGGATAGAAGCTGGTGGACATGCCGGACTGGAGGGCATCGACGAAGTAGAGGATCCAGATACTGGAGGCGGATGATTGTCAGTCAACAGTCACAGCATGTGGAGGAAGTGAAGGATGGAACATACGTGATGTAGGCCATGTACATGTCGTTCCGGGTCCAGACCTTGGTCATGGCCTCGACACGCTGAATACCGGCTTGAGCCTCCTTGGAGATCTCCTGGCTCGAATCGGTCTCGGCACCCGGGTCAGACTCGTTGGTAGCAGACTTGGCACCGACAGCGGCCTCCTTGTCATTGGGGTTGTGCTGGACCTCCTCGACGATATCGGCCGGAGCCGCAGGGCGGCCCAGCTTGTGGAGAAGACTCCTCATGGTGAAGGAAGAATGGAGCTGAGTAGCCGATGTGAGGAATCAAGAAAGTGTCTCCGTTGACCACGATCCGGGTCAGTTGGGATCCAGTCTCCAGCCGGTGGGAAGGAGAAGGGGTGGAAAGATGGGGATGATGAGGGAAGGAAGCTTGGGGATGGAACGCAGATATCAGATCGAAGAAGAACGGGAGGAGGGGAGAGTCGGGAGGGATTGAAGTTTATATGTATTACTTATCAGATCGAAGTGCACAAGGCGGAAAGGCAGGGGCACGCACGTACGGCATGGCCGGTGGGGCTCGATTGGAGCTTGTGCCGTGGGGTGGTGGGTCTGCGTCCGCGGTTCCAGTGTGGTTGGGAGGAGGGCAAGGATCGCAAGGTTACACTGAGCCAGGTAGCTCGGTCCGGTAGCTCTGCAAAAGTGGAAGCTGCAGAGGTGGGGACCACATGAAGCCATTTCTGGGGCCCTAGAGACAGAAAAGGGCATTGCGCCGTTCTGGAGACTCCCCCGACTCCTCGAGAGTCGAGACCCGGCCATGGCGACAGCCTCTGCAAAACCCGGCCGAGACGGGACAGCCAGACGGGGCCCGCGAAGAGACGGGATGGGTACCTCCTCTCCCCGTTCGGCAGCGGATGTCTTCAAGTTACATGGCCGTGATGAATATCCCTTTAACGGTGTAAATTTATTATTTTTAGCGGCCCCTATAGTTACCGGTAGTATTTAGTGACTTTCTGGATTCTTGGGTTGCCAGCCAAGCAACGCTAGCGGCTTGTCTATACAAAGGATCGACGATAACAAAAGTGTCCTTTTTACTAGTAAAATTAGCGATTCTACATCATCTATTAAGGTATTAAAATAAATTTACTAGATTATACCGTCTTTGAACTATTAAACGCAAATATTACTAAGTCTTTATTGTTGTTGAAATATATCTTTCGTTAATTTTAAACTCCTTTATTAGTAACCCTTTCGAATATAATGAGGGTGGCCCCACCCCTCTAGAGAGGGGATTAATAAGTATTAACCCTGTAGACTACTTACTTAATCGAATAGTCTTTCTTTGCTTTAGTAAGTTAAAGTTAGATATTAATAAAGATGAAGGCAATTTTATACTCGATTTTAAAAACGACTTCGACGACGAAGATTATAATAATAATCTCCTTAAGCTACTGGGCTAGGACGTTACGAAGTTCCCTCTACTTAATTATCGAAATATATTAATATATTTACCGGCTAATAAGTAAATTTCCTAATAATATACCCGATAATATTAATATAGACGTCCCGTACAAGTTTAAAGATTTTCGGTATTATTTTATCGACCTCTAATAATTTCCTTTCAAGATTGTTCGCGGGGAGGGCGGTACTTTTACCTATTAAATTACTTATATTCCTACTACTATTTTGTTAGTATTCTATAAATATTTTTCCCCTTATATAGTTTAATAATGGGTAGTATGGACTAACTGTTAAAAGATCTTATTACCAGGAGAAAACGACCTTTATACTCATAAGAATCGTTAGTTCCTTATTTACGCTACGGAATTGTATATTATATTCGCTATTTTACTATATATTAGTCTTTACGTAGAGGCAACCCTCCTATTATATTAGTAATAGAAAGAGGGGTGCCCGAATTATTTAATCCGTGGTTAAATACTTTTCTTTCAGTTCGAAATACTTTTAAAACGGTTTTGCGTATAGGATTTAATTTAAAACGATTTTAATTTATAGGATAAAGTATATAATTTCGATAAATATATTTAGAAAATTTATTTTAAGATACGGACCCCGCTATAATACGTTGCCGTCAATGAGAAAATAGTAAAGTATATTGGTAGGAGTAAAGTAACAGTTTATATCCTTAATAAATTAATACTGTGGGGTATTAAGTATTAGGTTATTGCGTTCGGCGGTTATTTTTTTAATTAGAGGTAGTATAATAATGCGGTTGATATTATCGATTCGAAACTTTACGTACGTAAATATCCTCTTTTAAACCCTAGTTAATTATTAGTTAACGTGTTTAAAATTAAGGTGATTTCGTACCGATTTAAAGAGTAGTCGCTAAATTCGTAATTAGCTTACCCTCCCCTCTACAATAGTCAGTTTATTACGTTTTTATTAATAACCTTTTTACTACCATCCCTTTCGCTCGCTACTTTTATATTAAAAATATTATAATTATTAGTACGATACGCTCAAATTATATAATACTCTAGTTTGCGAAACTTCGAAAAGATAACAATAAGAAAGAGAAAGTACTTTTTAGGGCGCTATATTAAATTGTATCGGATATTCCGGTTCCCAACTCTAAAAAAGGCGAAAAAATATAATTAAATCCGGATTAGGATAATAGAGTAATTTTCCTATATATAAAGGATCTTAGGGTCATTGGGATCTTTAGGAACGTTGGCCGGCTTGTCATTATCGGGCTTGTTAGACTTACCCAGGGCCTTAGCCTGAGCTTTGTTAGAAGGAGCCATAGTAGCGCTGGGTCGGAGCCGAGAAGGAAATGTAAGCAGCGCGATGACGGAGTAGGAGCGGCAAGTTAGAAAGCAAGTAGAATGGGGAGTATAAGAAGGAAGAAGAGGAAGGAAGGGAAGGAGCGAGGGAGAAATTACTTTATCAATTAGAGGGTAGGTCGCTATAACGTGTTTGTTATAAAAGATAGGATGAAAGGGCGGGGTAGAGAGAAGGGGAAGAATGATGACACAGTTAATAATTAATTGAATTTAGCGGAAGGAACGGAAGGGAAATGGGATGGGGGTAAGGCCGGAGGGACCGCGTACCAGAATTAAAGATTACGCCTCGGGAATAACGGTGAGGTTATACCAAGTAGAAAACAAATAACGAAGGCACGGCGCTGATATGGCGCTGTCGCGATAGAGTAGCGGAGGGTTTTCAGCCGGCTGCGGCACGGTTTTTCCCACTGACTAAGAACGGAAATAGCACCGCATACCTACTAGGTAGACTATATAGCTAGTTAGCGTATATAAGACTAATAATAATATATATAAAGGATCGCTGAATAGTGAACTTCTTATTTATATAGTATATAGAAAACGAATTTCGTATTTATATACACCGCTGCCGTCCTATTTATAAAGGCGCTATAAAGGATTTTTTTAGCGATAAAGGTAGTAAGCGAATTTAGATACTGCTAATTATTTGGGTATATAATTGCTATATAAATAGCGTTAATATCGGTAGTTAATTGTATATATATAATACGTATAATTATTGTTACTGCCGCGGGTTGTTTATAGTAATGTTTACTAATTTCTACCTTAGTATATTAACTGTATTTGATTCCTTACTAAATATTATACTAATAATATATTATTTTTATATAGAAGTTATATCGGCCAACCTTTTAATTAATTGGAGGGAGAAGCCGTATAGGCCTCCTTTTAAATAGAAAAATTGGATTGTATATATAAATTTTCGAAGTTAATTAATTAATAAAATTTGGGTATTTTATAGTAAATCGGCTACTTTTTACCGCGCTTCCTTAGATAAATCCTTAATGTTTAATACTAGGGGAATTATTATAAACGAATATACTAAAGTGAAATTTTTGAAGCAAGCTAGCTATACGATGTACTTATCGAGTCGATATAGAGATTTAACTGTCTTCAAAATTAATAATTCCCCTTCGTATATTACTTAGAAGCGGATTTTAATATATTTTGGGTACGGTACGTATAATATCGTAATTTGTAAACGAGACCGTTGTTAGGCGGCTTATTAACATTAAACGGTTTTGGGAATAGTTTTAACTAGTTGTATTGGGCTCAAAAATATATTGGTTAATTTTGGCATGGTCTCTATACGAAATTATATGACATTTAGTACAGTGATAAAGGTGCTGTAAATGCTGGTAAAATCGAGGTATATGCATGCTCGAAAATGTAGACCGCTAGTATAGGGAGCCACCGATTGGCCACAACCCATGTCACGCTAAAAATGATAAATTTGCACCGTTAAAGGGATGCAGGGCAGTTATTTTGACGCCGGTGACGGGCGGGGAGGGCGATGGGGTGAAGCAGAGGAGGAAGAAGGGGCCCAACGTGGTGATGGAACCCAGAGGCGCCGTTGAAGCGAAAACGTGTCACCCCAACTGCAGTAAAGCTTTTCGGAGAAGTGCGGGCACTGTTGACTGTCGGCTGGGTCTGGAGTCTGGACTCCGTGTTACAACGATACTGGGCTGTCCAGGATTGCAATACACAGACCCGAATTCCATACACTCATTTAATTGGTAATGTCGAAACAATGTCGAACGTTGTCTGTGACCTTGGATAAGCTCTTTGACAGATGGTACAAGACTCGGTTGCAGTACCATACTCTGATCCGTACAAATCGGGATGCTGTGTGTACGGTGTGTTCTGCATGCGGGAATTACAATAGAGCTTTGTAAAGCAGCGGTGTGTTTTCCCATCGATGATACGGGTCGATTACGTCTTGCATTTTTAGGGTTCCGTGTTCCAAACCGGAAGCTATTCCAGTTCATCGCAGAGATAGGGACTCCCAGTTAAAACTTGACTTCCAATTCAGCTCTCTCTGTTGAATCTTGGACTTTTGACACTTCTGCGAATGTGTTCATAGCTGTTAGAGAACCAACGTGTCCCTCTTTCGAATACGCCCTCTTTCCACTTGAAACCGTCATGTATCAAGACAAATCGCGTTCAGTAATTTTGACAGACTTGAAAGAGTATTGGAACGATCCACCCCACCATCAACAATTATCCAAGTTCCCACAGGTTCCCAATCCAGGACGCCCCTGTTGCACAGGGCCAATCATAACGTAAGGGCCCCGCATCTCGGCCGAGTTCCACATTGCCAAGTCGCGCAAATTTTTTATCTGATCATCTTATCTGATCGATAACCCTGCCTGGAGCCAATGGCCCACCTTCGCCCACAAATGTGATGACTTGGCCTGCCGAACAGGGTGCCCCGTGCGCTCGTTTTTCCTTTTCTTTGCACGGCAGGAACGCCATCGACCGCAGAGTTCCACGACGGATTCGCTGCTTCCACACGAGCAGCGGCCACCCAACGTCAATGGCGACATGACGGAAAGAGCGACATCGGCCCTTCGTCCATCCATGCTTCTTGCCCTCTCTAGGAGAGGTACCTTTTAGGTTTGAAGAACCTGTCTTCGGCGAGTGTTCTACGCCTTAGCGCAGGTACCGGTACAGGGGCAAGGCGTTCAAGTTGATGTCAAAGTTCTCCTTTGCCGCCCCCGCCTTCTCCGGAAGCAACAACATGCCTTCCCTGTGCAAAGTCAGCCGCGCCATCAGCACATTCGTCACATCCCAAGCGAAGACCCGAAGAAAAGGGTCCAGATGGTGATAGTTGGAATTTGTCAGTTCTTGCTCATACGGTTGGGAAAGGAAAAGGGAAAAGGACGGGATTCCGCGTCCCTCATCCGTTGGACCGCCGGATTCCGCTGAGGAAACCATTCGGCTCGGATGTGAGAATGTTTGTTGGTCACTGGTCGCGGTGGAGATGGCCTGAGGAGTGAGGGCTTTCGCACAAGAAAATCTGTCGATAAAGCCGACGAAAGGGAAAGAATACGGGCCAAGAGCGGCGATCATTACCGGTTCTGGCAAGGCGCGTTACCCCTAGCGGACCCGCCTCCGGTTGCTACACCACATCCCGTACGGGGTTGACGTTGTTCCGCATTCGCCCGCTGTTCTGGCAGAAGCCGCGGGTTCGTGAGTGGTCCCACTGTCAACTGGGAACCATCCCGCATTGCCTGCCATCCGGCCCGGCCTGGCTTGAAGGTGGTCTCACTCGAACAACGAGTGGTGAACCTCGGAGATACAGACATTGGCCTTCAACGTCGAAAAGGGTCTCACCTCATGACACTGGACCACACGGCTGGGTCCTAGATCAGGAACACTGCATAGCTATAGCCAGGTATGTACACTCGTCACTGGCCAGGGACAGCAAAAAAAGTCGCTGGTTGCCATTGACCTTGTCCGCCTCCGTGAAGTCTCATACAGCTCGAGAAACATGAGCCTTTCCATTCTCCTATCGGCTTCGGCGGCTCTTTGACTCTGTCGTCAACTGCGGCTCCAACGGTGGACAGCATTGAAATCATCGTCATCACTGATCGGCATCTCCACGTCCAACCTGACGCCTTGAAACATGCGAGTGCACTGAGAACATCAGTGACTGCCCCCCTTCCTGCCCCTTCATGCTTCATCGACTGCAACCATGGAGTCCTGTTCCTTTGGCACTTTTCCCACTTTGTATCATGTCCGGCTGTCCACATAAGCTCTCCACACCTTACCCACCCCCCGTCGGGAGAAACAATCTGGAAAAGCTCTTTCCAAAATAGGCATGAGGCACATGCTCGCCATGATCTACCATGTCTGCTGGCGCTGATCCCCCAAGTAGATAATAAGTATATCGCGCAACCGGGAAAAGGCCATCAAATCCGTACGGCTGCTCCGGGCATCCACCTGTCTCCAACCGGGGGCGAAGACCCACTCCGGTCATCAACGGCCGTGCCGCCCCTCTCCGCTCCTGAAACGCATATTGCGGGCAGAACGGTGTCGGCACCGTCTGGCCCGGTCTTGCGCTGCCGTTCCTGTTCCGCTCTCATGCCGGCATGACACCCAGCAAGTCCGGATACCTTACTACTTGGCGGCCCGCCTTTTCGGCGCCGTGCCGGCCGCTGCCGTCTCCGGTTCCTGCCAAGAGATTCCATCTCAGGTACGGAGCTCCCGCGGGTGGGCCATAGGGCATGTTCCTGTCCTTGGCAAACTGATGTTGGCGTTGATTACGATAGACATGCCAAGTCAATATGGTCACTTCTTATGCCTTGGATTCCCAGAATGTCCCATCCAGTTTCCTTGGTCTGTTAAATCAGAAATACTCTTTTCATTTCATACTTTCTCAAGCCACCGACAGTCTGACGCAGTCAAACCCCAGGATCCTTCAAACACCTCCTTTCCCTCCAGCTTTCCAAACCGCCTTCGCTCAGACTCTCGGCACGATCTCAGCCTCCCCAGGGTTCTCTTCCATCCACCTCCTTAACCACTGCCTGTACAGCGGGTGTAAATGCAACTGCACCCTCCATTTCCCGTCCCTCCGCCCCCCTTCACTCATCGGCAAAACAACCGCATGATACTCTCCCCTCGTCGGCGTCGACGAGTTATACACAATTTGTATCCCCAACCCCATCTCCACCTCTTTTTCCCCCGACGAGTTCAATGTTGACAAGTCACTACCAACCTCTGACCTCCCTCTCCCATACGCTTCATGTCCAGACGCCATCCCCTCCAAAACCTCCAAACCCCTTCTCCCCGCTTCATCAAGCGAAATAATACACAACCCCCCCTCGCAACTTCCAATCCAATCCCTCTTTGCCGCCATCATCCGCCGCGCAACGTCCTGCCCTTCGTGCTGCTTTAGCAAACCAAGTCGCTCCCTCACGGCCGAGGGCTCCCGCACAGCAGCCTCGATGACTGAGCGGATCGCAAGGGCAAGCAGGGCGTACCGCCGGAGATGTGGGATGCCTGTTTCGTCGGTGATGGAGGGGCGGAGGAAGAAGGAGTGTAAAGGGACGGTGGCGATTGCTGGGAGGAGGACGTCGCAGACGTGGGCGGTGGTGAAGAGTTTCACTACTTCCGTGGGGTCGTTGTCACTGAAGTCGGAGTTGTCACTGTCTTGGTTGCTGATGCTGCTGCCGATGCCGCGTACTCGCGTTCGAGTGAGTAAGTGCCAGATGTAGGCGTACAGGATGTCTTGCTCGGTGATATTGCTGGCAGACACCACAGTTGGAACGCCCTCATCGGTGGAGGAGGAGGTCATTTGATGGAGGTAAGCTTGCGCGGCACGGTGCACGGTGCGGATCCAGCTGGTGCGGATGGTGAGCATGTCAGTCATGAGGATGCGCCGTGCCGGGTTGTTGTTGCTGTCGTCGGAGTCGTCATTGTTGGAGTCCATGGTGGTGGTGCCGGTGGGCTGCGCGAGGTCGTACTCGGGAAGCGATGCTAGTGAAATTGGTGCTACTGCCGCTGTTGTTGATGGATCAGCAAGGTCAGGGTGGAAGTACGCTGATCGCTGGTTGCTGCTTGTGTCCAAAGCCAAAGGATTCAACAATCAAATCTCGGTCGGCCAGCAAATTCCCATGCGCGCCCTTTTTTTTGCTCCTTTCGGTCCTTAGGTTTTTTCTGCCCTCATCATGCGGGGAACTTAAAGGAAGGGACGATCCTTGTATCACCGAACAGGAGTTCATGCAAACACGTTTTGACAGATCCATCGGATGAACTACGCCAGTGCGTGCCGTGTGTTACTCGCGTGCCATTCGTCATGACATGCCACAAATTCCCTTAACCCGAAACACTCGACACGTGCGTGTGCTTCACACGACGGGAACACATGGAAGTTACCGGCGTGCCGGTGAAAGGAACTGAAGGAAACGAAACAAGACAAAAGTAGATGAAACAAAACGAAACAAAACAAAAGGAAACGAGACGGTACGTCACGGCACGGCACGACGGGAAGAGAAAACTTGCACAAATCTCATCGAGTGGTAGTACGATCAGTGCCGCCGACTTCAGGCCTCCATGCTCATTTAGTTGGGTCTCTTGCTAAAGGTATCAATTGACTACCTACTTGAATTCCTCGCCTGGCCTTGTCTTACTTGCCCGACTAAAAGAGAGAGTGAGAGAGATCCGGCAACTAACTAACTAACTACCTAACTAAAGCAATGAGCTTGTAATCAATGCCATTTGGGTGTAACTTCCACTTGGATAACGAAAGATTTGGTATCGGCTCTCTAATTTCTTGGTTTCCTAGCTTTTCGGTTCCCTGGGTCCCGGGTTGAAAGAACTAATTACTCAACGACTTTTCGATTGCAAAGTGGAAAAGGACAAAAGAATTGCAAAAATTTTCGCATCGAGGTTGGCCTTATAGTGGTGGAAGGTGGCCATCGTCCGCTTTTGCCTCCTGATGCTCTTTCCCTTCTACTCTAAGAAGATGCCCAAATTCCCGGCCCTACTCATTCATTCCATTCTAAGCCGCCTTTAGGCCGTCTACTTGTTTCTTTAGACCGCAGCTAAGCATCATCTCCCGTCCCTGTCACGTCATTCATCCCCACAACCTCTCTCCAAATTTCCCTCCTCAACCTTGACATGATAATATCGACGCCTGTCGCATCCGCCAAAACCTGGTGTATCGCAATTCCCAAGACCATTCCCGTTGCTTCTGAGGATAACCCGCTTCCGCTGCTTCGAAGAAGCCTGTTGCGCTGGACGGTCATCACATCTACCCGACGACGATCCGCTGGGTCGGGAATTCGGAAACAAACGCCAGGGACGAGGAGGGGATAAGGATGGGATCCCCAGTCCTGGCCCCGGATTAGTTCCTCAAAGGTTATTTCCAGCCTTTCCTCTTCGTGGTGAGTGATCATTTGCCGGACGGCGTCTTCTGGAGTCTGGGTTGGGAAGCGGTGGTAGAGTCGCAGCCTGTGGGCGGCGGTGTATGCTTCGCCATCGTTGTCGTCGTTATCACCGTCACCGTCAGCATAGTGCTCTTCTGGAGCACGTACGAGGCGTGCATTGGGGCCGGACCTGAGGAGGTAAGTAGGACCGTCCCTGCCTTCAGGGTACAAGAACATTATGTTGTCTTCTGTCAGTTGACTGAGCTGTTGCAAGGCAAAGCTCCGGTTGGGGTTGGATGGGTGATGGAGGTGAAGAGGTCTAGGATCGGAATAGGGGTCGGGATCCCGAGGGTCGACATCATCGTGGTCATCAGACAGATCATAGACGTTGTGCTGACGGTCAATGGGCGAGGAAGCGGCCGAGGCGGGGCCGAGCTGAAAGGAAGCGAGAAAAGAGAAGTCGGGGAGGAGAGTGCGGATGAGGGCTGGTTCGAGAATGGCTGCGCAGAGGGAGTGTGGCCAGGGGAGGAGCAGGGCTCGGCAGTGGTAGCCGCGAGTTTGGACGTTGTCGAGGGCGGCCAGGACGTGTTCGGTTGAGGGTGGGCTCGGAGGGGAATCCGTGAAATAGGATATGGAGCCCATGTTGTGCAGTGCTTGTTAAGAAGTTTTGTGCTCTGTTTAATTCGTTGCTGGTTCAGGTGCTGATAGGTCAATTCGAGTAAACTTGTTCTAGACTCGGATCCTACGTTGTGGTCGAGTGGCACACAAAAGTGGTTTTATACGTGAGAGAGTATATATGCTGGTGATCCACCGGATTAGTCATAAGATGGTGTGTGCCATTATACTGAAGTGCCCAAGAAGGTAGAATAACATCGTGAAGAGACTTCGACTTGCGTGATTCACAAGGCTTTTGATATCCAGATTTCCGAGAGGTAGTGTTCATATAATCACCACTGCAAGCTGAATCATCATGTCGTGGGCAAAAATCATCCCATGATTTCTGGCGGTCTGGGAATCAGGGTCAGTACATGAAAGAGCTCGACGGGTGAAGCGATTGGTGATGCATGCGCCCTTGACCGCATGGTACCGACTTTCCCATGCGATTCACTGAGACTTTCTGATAAGAAACCTGTCAGGAGATGGTAGGCATTCTTGGGCCTTGCACGGAGTCGTCACTTTGAGGGATTCAGCTTTTCCAAAGGTCATAGCATGAAGCTATTCACGGTTCTTGGCGTTTTGTGCATTTTTGAGCACCGTGCGGACACTCTCGAATAGCAGAATGACCGTTGGTTGGCCACCATTAGAATCGTACCATATTACTCTTAGATGCACTAAAGATCTGAAATACGTATTTGATTGCTCCAAGTCGTCAATGTCCTTGGTTTCAAGCCTTGTTGTTGTTGTCGTTGCAGAAGTGGAAGATGGGCGACGACTGGGCGCCAAGAATAAGATGCATCCAGCGCTAACTGTTTTGCGTGTGTTCCCCATATAAAGACGTTAGTGCTCGAAGCCTGGGGAACCCCCACTAATTGTGACGTCGTATGGGCGTCAAACCCATTAAAGTTTGGGGGATTGACAGGCCCCACAGCTTCGGTATCGATTATTAGGGCTATACGAAAGGGACGTACCTCCTGGGCCCACCTGGGCCCGCCCGCGCAAACGCGGGTGAGACCCATACGCGACCTACGCGCGCGTGGCTCAACGTGGCGCGTACTGTGGCGCGCGCTGTGGCGTGTAAGGTTCGTGTTGTATATATATTGCCTAAAATAGTTAAGATTTAAAAAACCGTTCTTTTCCCTTTCTAATAGTATATTATACGTAATTATTACGCGTAATTTATTCTAAGTTCGTATCTTTAAAAAACTTTGTATCGTATATGCGTTATAAATGACGGTATTAAAAATTTTGGAAAGAAGAGAAGGGAAGGGAGTAAATAAGTAAAAGAAATAACTATTTTTATTAATAGTCTTATAGTTTAATAATAAATGCGTTAGTATTGTATTATTAAGGTCATACGTTTGATTTTTATTATTACCATTTTTTTTTTGCGTAGGTAAGGTTTTACCTTGGGAATTTTTTTTTTCCAAGTTAAAATAAGATAAATAATTATTTTCCTCTTCCGGTAATAATAATAAAATTCTATAGAAAATACTTTTAGATTCTTTATAATTATAATATTATTAAAAGTATATAGGGTAGTTTAATTATATATTCTATTGGGTTTAAAATTTAAAATAACTGTTTTAAAATAAGGAAGTTAAAAATAAAAAAGAATATTTGAAACTTTGAAAGAAAAAAACTACAAGGTTGTTAAAATAATAGATAAAGTGATAGGAGAATTCCTGGATTACCCTACCTTTCCTATATTATAGCTTAGACTAGTAATGACAGCCTAGATTAGCTGGGCTGCTATGGAGGCTACTATGCCTAGTCTGGGCATCTAGATTGTATTGTTCAGGCTACTTTGTAGCCCGTGCTCTAGCTCTCTGTATGTATATCCTTTGTGTGTAGACGGCTAGCTGGAAGCCTTCCCTTTCTTTTTAAATTATTCTTCTTTTACTTTACGATGCATATTAATATGGCTTTACTCTGTCAAACTATTGTATTGAGTGCATTATTTCTTCTATCCCTATATCATAAAGATTAATAAATATTTCTTTTTTTATATATTATAATAAGGTAAATAAATTTTTCGATTTTATACCTTTATTTTACTATTATTCTACTTAATATAATACGTATAATTATAAAAATAACTTATAAATTATTAATTTCTCTTTTACATTCGAATTTAATACTCTTATACTTTATTTATTTATTATTTTATTATTATATTACTTTACTACTTTATTAATTTCTTTATTTAATTAATTACTTTATTACCTTATTTATATATTGGCTGCGGCGGCTAATTTAGTTAGGGGAAGATAATTTATTTACTTAGTTTTTAAATTAATTACCTTATTATATTATTTATATATTGGCCGCGGCGGCCAACTTGGTTAGAGGAAGGTAGTTTACTTACCCGGTACTTAAATCGATTACTTTACTACTACCCTACTTATATATTAGCTACGGCGGCCAATTTAGTTAAAGGAAGGTAGCTTACCTACCCGGCATTCAAATCGATTACTTCCATTTTATTTATATATTGGCCGCGGTGGTTGATTTAATTAGGGGAAGGTAGCTTACCTACCCGGTATTTAAATCGACTACTTTATTACTTTATTTATATATTGGCCGCGGCGGCCAATTTAGTTGAGGGAAGGTAGCTTATTTACCCAGTATTTAAATTGATTACTTTATTATCAGCCGTAGCGGCCAATTTGGTTAGGGGAAAGTAATTTACCTACCCAGTATTTAAATCGATTACCTTATTATTTTATTTATATATTAGCCGCGGCGGCTAATTTGGTTGGGGGAAGGTAGTTTATTTACCCAGTATTTAAATCGATTACCTTATTATTGGCCGCGGCGGCCAATTTAATTAGGAAACGGTAGTTTATTTATTCGGTATTTAAATTGATTACCTTTATTTCATTTATATATTGGCCGCGGCGGCTAATTTCATTAAGACAAGGTAATTTATCTATCCAGTATTTAAGTTAATTACTTTATTATTAGCTGCGGCAGCCAATTTGATTAGGGGAAGTTAATATGAAGGTGCAACGGGGGAATTGAATTTGGTAGCTGTAAATCAATTTTTAAAATTTCCTATATAAATAAATTTTGCGGAAATTCAAAAGTTGCAACTTAGACCGTTGGGCTATATTTTCTTTAAATTAGCGGTCGTAAGGTATATAAAAAGGGAGGGTAAAGATAATTAGCTAAAGTAGGAATAATTAGCTAAAGTAAGAGCGATTAATTAAAGTAGGTAAGAAGGACTTATTATATATAGGGTTGCTTATATGGTCGTTTATAGGGTTTAATTAGAGGGTTATATACCATAAAGTATTATATACGATTATATATAGGGGCGCTTAAAAGGTTTAATTAAAAGGTTATACGTTATAAAGTACTATATATAACCGTATATAGAAGCGTTTAGAAGGTTCAATTAGAGGGTTATATACTATAGGGTACCGTATATAATTATATATAGGGGCGCTTAAAAGGTTTAATTAGAGGGTTATATACTATAGGGTAATATATACGATTATATATAGGGGCGCTTAAAAAGTTCAATTAGAAAGTTATATATTATAGGGTAGCGTATACGATTATACATAAGGGCGTTTAAAAGGTTTAATTAGAAGGTTATACGTTATAAGTAGTATATACGACCGTATATAGGGGCGTTTAAAAGGTTTAATTAGAGGGTTAAATACTATAGGATTTTATATAATTGTATATAGAAGCGTTTAGACAGTTTAATTAAAGAGTTATATAGAATAAGATAGCGTATATAATTATATATAAGGGCGCTTAAAAGGTTTAATTAGAAGGTTATATATTATAAAGCTATTTTAGGGTCTTGTTAGAGGGTTAAATTCTATAAGGCCGTTACGGGAGAGCTACTTAAATATTTTTAAAAAATCTTTTTCGTAGGGTAAATTATAAGATTTATATAATAATAAATTTAAATTTACAATAATTAGCTTCCGTCTTTAATTAATAATAATAAATAAAGGTTTATAATTTATTTTTAACCTTCCTAATAAATTTAAATTCTTATTTTATACCTTTTTTTACAGGAAGGTTATTAGGGCGTAATTTTAATACTTTCCCGCGGATTTTTTATTTGCGGAAGGGTTATTAGGGCATAGTTTTAATACCTTTCCGCGGTTCTATAATTCTTCTATAGCTTTCGTTAGGTATAGAAATATATATAATTATATTAAGGATTAAAGTATAAACTACCTTCGGATTAATATTCTTACTTTTATATTAAACGTAGAAAGGACGTTTTTGGATTTTTCCTTTTATAAGCAAATTAATTTAAGTCGAGAATTTATAAATAATAATAATGATCTTATTCACGCTGACTATCTATCTAACTAATCGCCCTTATAGGCACGCGGTCCTTCATCGGTCAAAGCCGGGAGGAAAAACCGTAATTCCCAGGTAAAAACCCCCCGCTCCTTTATCGCCGCGCGACCAGGGCGGTCGCGAGCTTATCGTAAACATACCTTCAGTCACAGCTACCCTCACCGGCATACTATCCCGTTAAAAAAACTATTTATATATTCCTATAACGTTACCCGCCGCTATCTCGGAACGGACGTAATATAAAAACCCCTTTTTATATCGTTAATGCTTTATTTTTCGTCTTATTCTATTTTATTATAAAATTTTAAATAAATCCCCCTCCCCCCCTCTTACAAATATAAGAAAGGGGCTTCCCCTCTCCTAAACTTCTTCTTCTTTCTTTCCTTTTTTACTTATTTATTACCTTTACTTTACTTTTACCCTACTAATAAACCCAAAATAATTAATACCGAACAACCTAACCCCTATAGTAATAGCGAAATTAACGTTACTAAACTTATTATTAAATTAGTTAAAACTAATTATAATCCTAATAAATATAACAAAAAACCTGATACGGATACGCCTACTTCCACTCCGCGTAAAAAAACTATTATTAATTTTAAATATAAAAAGAAAACTATACCGTACCTCCACTACGTACTCGCTCTCTA